CGCCTATAAAAAGGCAAACTACAACCAAGCAACACAAAAAAGAGGTCCCCCCGCCACACATCCCCCAACCCAACCCTGCCCCCACTATCCTATATTCATAGTCCCATCCTTAAGTCGAACACAATTCATCAAAACCCTCGCCTCAAAGGCCGCCCCTAAGTCCCAACCCATTTTAAAACCCCAAAAGTAACCCAACCCATCAAAAACTCACACCATAATCAGGTTAACCATACAAACATGACACATGCCTGAGTTGATAATAGTAACTTATACTTGTACCAGTCCCCATGAGTGCAACCACCATCCAGGGTAACTCGATTACTCTCAAACATATATCTAAATCAGTGCCTAACCCTTCAACCATCACCTGCCAGGCCACAAGCCCCCCATCACCCACAACATACAAACCAAAAAAAAAAAAAAACTCCCCATCCCACTAACATAACAGCAACGAAATACTCACCCAACACCCAAACCAAGAAAGCCCCCCCCCCCCCCCACCCCAGACAGCACGCCAGAAAGGAAGTGCCAACCCACAGCGGCCAAACATAACACCCCCCGTCAAAATCCTCAACACCCCCACTCGCATCCAATAAAGTGCACCTCCCCCCCGATGCCCGCATGCCCCAACCTTCAAAAAAAAACGCCCAACCAAAAACACCCGTAACATTCCCCCCCCAAAGACCAACACATAACATAAAACCAACAAACATAAACAACAACCCACCATCCCACCAAACATTATTCCCCCCCTCTCACCCCAACCCTTCCCCCGCATCCACAACACCCAGTCCCACTCCAACCCCGTCAAGCCCCACGCCCCCCCCCAGCCTACCCCCCTCAGTCCGAAACTTCCCCTAACGCCGTAAATATAAACCATAGAGCCTCCAAAAAATCCCACCCAAGCGCAAACTACCCTAAAAGACCACCCCAGTAAGCCACCAAATACATGCAATAACGCAACAAACTATACTACACACACCCATGCGAAACGCACCAACCAGAGCCTCCTAAAAACAAACCAATACAAAAAAAATTGCCCCCACACAATAAAAATCCCCAGATCTTACCCCCCCAACCCACAACATAAATACCCCCACAACATCCCTTACATCACGTACCCACCATAATAAACCCCCACCCACCACCACCCAGTATAAAATCCTATTAAAAACCAACCATTAACCCCCCCTTGCTCACAAACCCAACAACAATACAACCCCGCACAATCACCTCAACCAAAACACTAACCCACCTCAACAAACACCACCCACAAACCTCCCCACCAGATCCCCCCTTCAAATCTCAATCCACTTCCAACCTCACAAACACAAAAAAACCACAACAACCCCCCCCGACATAAAAAAACACCCCTTACAGATAACCCCCACATCTAAAACCTGAAACTAACCAAACTCCACATAAATATGAGGTTCCCCAGATACCCAGTCCAAGGGAAGGTGCATTAGGGTAGGTTTATTTTATTATGTAAGGCCAGGGCATACAACTCAGCTGTTATGGGGAAAAAAAAGAAGGCCGTCGTCCCTTCCACGAGGTGGTTTACCGCAGTTCTTGATCAAACCAAGGCACCGAAAGATTTCAATGCTCGCGGTCGATAAACACAAAAAAACTTACTTACCATGAACAGGTAAACAGGACAATAACCATCACGAAACAGAACTCCCACATCAAAATCTAACGGACCCCCAAATACGGCAAGATGATTCAAAACCGCGAGCGACAGTTACCCAACAAAACATACAAAGGGGCCACACGCGAAATGAATCAAGAATACCGTAACCAGGTGAGATTGAACGCAAGCAAGTTTTAGCCCCCAAACAAATGTGGCGAATAAATGAGTTTGCAAGGTTTTATTTCCCTTATTGATGTTACTCTTCGGCAGGGAGGAGCGCTGTGGCTAAGAACTATTCTGCGCTCAAGGAAATGAATCCTGTGGCCAAATGGAAACTCAGCGGGGAGCCATCAACACAAAGTGACTCATTTATCCTTTGGCTATTAAACTATAAACTACATTTTAATAACGGGTAATATCAGAGTACATGGGTGTCAGGGTGGGTAATGAGCATGCCTGTTGGTGCAAAGCCTAGCCTCCACATATTATAATGGACAGGACTGTCAACAATAACAACATGCAGGATATTTTGCTACAGAGAAATATTTAGAGGGATAATTTTCCCTCTGACAAAATTCCAATAGAAAGGATTGAAGCTATTTACATGGTATTTAAAAAACGATTAAACGGAACGAGCAAAAATAAATACAAAACTAGCCATAACAACTATTATTATATAATATTTGTTCACTGCTCTCCTACAGCTAAAATATTATTGTAAGTACAAAGTAAGAAACTAGGAGCTGGAAAAAATATTCCCATTTTTAAATAATACGTAAATGCACAGGACTTAATTATGGAGCCCATCCACCCATCCCATTGTTCATTACCCTTAAACCCATTTCCTGGGTTGGTAGGGTGGCAAGTCAGAGCTGCACCCAGTACACAGAAGTACCAGCCCCTCACTGATCCTCTTGCAGGTGGTGAGGTTCACACAGGAGCCCCCTTGATTATTCAGTAGGGGCTTCAGGCAAAATTGGATTTAAAGTGTCCTTGTCTGTTGGCCCCAATGACACAAAACAACCCCCGCAACAACAAGCAGATCATCAGAGGGTCTTGTGATGGGTTGGAACCCACGACTTTCAGGCTCTAAGGCTAATTCGCTCTACCAACTGAGCTATTGTCGCCACCCAATATATGGCCCCCAAAACATATTGTAATGTCTATCAATTATTAATGTCCTATTACATGTTATCTATGCAAGCAGAATTATGTATATTCTTTACTTTAACAATTTTTTGACACATTCACATCAAAGGAACCAAGACACCCACTAGATAATACAGGACAATTAAAAGGAGGTTACTTCATAAAACCTTAAATGCTGGCTATACTTTTAGAATCATTTCAACAGGTACTGTGATATCAAGTAAAGGTTAAGTTGTTAAGCCAGTCATTATTACACGTTACAGGCAATTTCCACGTCTGTGACTTCCTGGTTACTTACGTGGCAAATAAAAACAATGATTCTGATTCTGATTCTGATACTCACAAAAAGCAAAACTTACAATCACAATATTCCAGTCGTTCAATATTCACACATGTTCTAAATTTTTTTTCTGGCGCAATGGGATAACTATGAAGATAGATTTTGGCTCAAAGAGGGGCGCACACATTAGATGAGTAATGTACCGTCCTGCAGTGGCCGTTAGCTATAGATTATACAGTCATGCTGATGTTTGCGAGAACACTGGCAGTGTATTTAATAAAAAGCCATGTTGAGTTATTGTAATTGATAGCAGAGTCTCGTGATTGCATTCTATAATATGTTTTTCATTTAGGAATATAATAAAGAACTCAAAGGATTGGTGTATGGTCTGGCTGGAAGGCAGTAGGACAGTCAAAATGCAAATGCCAACAGAATGGCAAAAAAATCTTGTAAGTAAAATACCAGTTATAATTTGACTGAGATGACCCGTTTTTCAACAATATTTTTTTTTCTGAATGTCGTAGTGGGCCTACTCCAAAGATTGCGAGTTTGTCAAGTCCAATATTCCACCCGACAGAGATTTTTCCTATTGAACCTCATGTAAGTATAACCCGGTTATTTTTTTATTAAAAGGCCTGGACAGCTTTATTGGGAGATATCACAAGTTGATCACACAAGTATGTTCATATACCCACCGTCCACTCGTGATTTATCTCTCTTTTGTAATCTTTTGCAAGGGTAACTGATACAGATCACCTTAAAAAACACGCCGACTTTATTTATCCCACCGTGCACCAAAAAAGCTTTCCACTACACGTTGGCATGCCATGATTCCCCTCGATCGCCCTACCATCACAAAATGTTGTAAGTAAAATTGTTTATATATTTTAGGTATTTTTTCTTGCGTTTGCTTTCCCCCACAAATACACACCTTATACATTAGTTGAGAATCGTGTGTTGTTCCAGTGGTTGACCTTGTGCATCGACCCCTTGTTTCATTCACTAGCAAACCTGTTTCAAAGATGTGGCATATGTGAGTTTTGGATTCAATAACAGTATTTGCTAACGTAGAAAATGGCGGAGAATCTTTACAATGAGAGCAGAGCCCAAGGGCGGAGATGGTAAGGTCATGTATTTATCCTACTCTTCCTCAAAATATTGTGATGTGAAATCTTTTCCTTGTCATGCACAATAAATTTACATTTCCCTATTATTTCGTAATCCCATCTCTCTGGGTTGCCAGCATTACCATATGTATTGGTTTAAGTTCATTACCGAAGATACCAATACAATACAATTACAATATAGTGGCGTGGAGAATTAGTGTCAGCTTTTAGGGGAGGGGGGGAGTCATTTTCAGTGCCAGGGGTCATGGAGCAGCAGTCTTAGCAGAACTGGCTAGACCTTTCCCCTATCCACCAAGTACGTCCCCTCTAGCTCACCCGGGGGAAAATTCTGAGGCGTTCTCAGACCAGATGAGAGACAATAGACCCTCCAGCATGTCTGGCAACAATGGTGGAAAGAAAAGACAGTCCAATCATACTCTAATCACAAGATTCAAATCCAATCATTCTGCAACATTTTAAGAAAATTAATCTTGAGTTTTCGTGTCCTATTTTTCCACTGCTGATGTTCAGAATTTATTGGTGTTTAATCTATATAGCTTTTTTTTACTGCAGAAAAGTTTCCTGAGCGGAGGTGGTTTGATGGAGTTGATTCCAACCAAAATTCACTTCCCTCCCACAAGACACAACCCCCCCGCACAAACCTCCCTGCAGCGCCTTAAAGCAGAACATGGGAAAAAAATTCCGACCAAGTCCCGAAGTCAGAGCCAATCCTGGTAGGTCTCCGCAAATATAAAAATCACAAATGTCAAAATAAAAAACATGGTCCATTATGAATCGTATATCACCCATTACGCTCCACAGAAAATAATCGCAAGATGGCGGACAAACAGGGTCAATGGTTTCCTGGCCGATGGCTAGTGTTGAAATACACCTTTGTCTATCAGCAAGAAAACCTTAATTACCAAACAAAATATTAAAAAACACCCTCGGATAGCCATTATATTTCACATGTTATACTGTGGAAAAGTATGTTGTGCACATTTTAAAGTAGTCCCCCACATTGAGTTGCAAAGTCAAAGAGAAAAAATGAAGAGATGTTCTAACCTATACTTGCTACAAAGATACAAATAATTGATAGTTGTAGCCGGCTTTGTTTCTTTTGGTGCCTCATACCTGTGCTCGTAGTTAGTCCATTATATTATTCATACTGAAAAGACACACACCGACCAGGCCTATCCAGTTTCCCTCCTGAGGCCCTCTCAGCCTTATTATCAACACGCCTCCCAGTTAGTTGTTCACAGCGCAGTCCGAGTTAGCCACCACGTAGCAACCTAGCAGACCTACCAACATGTATGATTAACATAATAATCATACATTGCTAATCATTTTTCTGTTTGGTTTAGGCTCCCCTCAGTTGACTCCGCTGGGTCACTTAACTGGGACTTGGACAGCTGTCAGAACAAATAAATAAGCTGTTATAAAAGGCCACAGAGGGACCAGAGCTGAATAACTGGTGTGTGTCTTTTCATATGAATAATATAATTGACTAACTACGCGCACAGGTATGAGGCAAAAAGAACAAAGCCGCTACAACATCAATTATTTGTATCTTTTAGCAAGTATAGTTAGGAACATCTCTCATTTATTCTCTTTGACTTTCAACTCAATGTGGAGGACTAACTTTAAAAGTGCACAACATAACTTTTCCACAGTATAACATTGAAATATAAATGCTATCCGAGGTGTTTTTTAATATTTTGTTTGGTAATTAAGGTTTCTTGCTGAAGACAAGGTTGTATTTCAACACTATCCATCGGCCAGGAACCATGACCTGTTTGTCCGCATTGCGATTATTTTCTGTGGAGCGTAATGGGTGATATACGATTCATAATGACCATGTTTTATTTGACATTTGTGATTTTTATATTTGCGAGACCTACCAGGATTGGCTCTGACTTCGGGATTGGTCGGATTTTCCATGTTCAAAACCTGCGCCATGTGTTTTGTGTCTTGTGGGAAGTGAAAATTTCGTGGAATCAACTCCATCAAACCACCTCCGCTCAGGAACATTTCTGCAGTAAAAAAAGCTATATAGATTAAACACCAATAAATTCTGAACATCAGCAGTGGAAAAATAGACACGAACTCAAGATTAATTTCTTAAATGTTGCAGAATGATTGGATTTGAATCTTGATTAGAGTATGATTGGACTGTCTTTTCTTTCCCCATTGTTGCCAGACATGCTGGAGGGTCTATGTCTCTCATCTGGTCTGAGAACGCCTCAGAATTCCCCCGGGTGAGCTAGAGGACGTACTTGTGGATAGGGAAGTCTAGCCAGTTCTGCTAAGACTGCTGCTCCATGACCTGGCACTGAAAATGACTAAAAGCTGACACTAATTCTCCACGCCACTATTGTATTGTATTGTATTGTATCTTCGGTAAATGACTTAAACAATACATATGGTAATGCTGGCAACCCAGAGATGGAATACGAATAATAGGGAAATGTATTATTTGTGCATGACAAGGAAAAGATTTCACATCACAATATTTTGAGAAGAGTAGGATAAATACATGACCTTACCATCTCCGCCCTTGGGCTCTGCTCTCATTGTAAAGATTCTCCGCATTCTACAGTTAGCAAATACTGTTATTGAATCCAAACTCACATATGCCACATCTTTGAACAGTTTGCTAGTGAATGAAACAAGGTCGATGCACAAGGTCAACCACTGGAACAACACAGATCAACAAATGTATAAGGTGTGTATTTGTGGAAAGCAACTCAAGAAAAAATACCAAATATATAAACAATTTTACTTACAATTTTGTGATGTAGGGCGACGAGGGGAATCATGGCATGCCAAAGTGTAGTGGAAAGCTTTTTGTGCACGGTGGATAAATAAAGTCGGCGTTTAAGGTGATCTGTATCAGTTACCCTTGCAAAAGATTACAAAGAGAAAATAAACACGAGTGGACGGTGTAATGAACAACTTGTGATAACTTGTGATATCTCCCCAATAAAGCTGTCCAGCCCTTTTAATAAAAAAATAACCGGTATACTTACATGAGTTCAATAGAAAAATCTCTGTCGGGTGGAATATTGACTTGAAAAACTAGAAATCTTTGAAGTAGTCCCACTACGACATCAGAAAAAAAAATATTGTTGAAAAACGGGTCATCTCAGTCAAATTATAACTGGTATTTTAACTTACAAGATTTTTTTCCATTCTTTGGCATTTGCATTTTGACTGTCCTACTGCTACCATCCAGACAATACACAAATCCTTTGATTTCTTTATTATATTCCTAAATGAAAACATATTATAGAATGCAATCACGAGACTCTGCTATCAATTACAATACTCAACATGGCTTTTTATTAAAATACACTGCAGTGTTCTCGCAAAATCAGCATGACTGTATAATCTATAGCTAACGGCACTGCAGGACGGTACATTACTCATCTAATGTGTCGCCCCTCTTTGAGCCAAATCTATCTTCATAGTTATCCCATTGCGCCAGAAAAAAATTTAGAACATGTGTGAATATTGAACGATGGAATATTGTGATTGTAAGTTTTGCTTTTGTGAGTATCAGAATCAGAATCAGAATCATTTTTATTGCCACGTAAGTAACAGGAAGTCACAGACTTGGAAATTGCTGTAATGTAATAATGACTGGCTTAACAACTTAACCTTACTTGATATACAGTACCTGTTGGAATGATCTAAAAGTATAGCCAGCATTTAAGGTTTTATGAAGTAACCTCCTTTTATTGTCCTGTATTATCTAGTGGGTGTCTTCCTTTGATGTGAATGTGTCAAAAATTGTAAAGTAAAGAATATACATAATTCTGCTTGCATAGATAACATGTAATAGACATTAATAATTGATAGACATTACAATATGTTTTGGGGCCATAATTGGGTGGCGACAATAGCTCAGTTGGTAGAGCATTAGCCTTAGAGCCTGAAAGTCGTGGGTTCCAACCCATCACAAGACCCTCTGATGACTGCTGTTGTTGTGTCATTGGGCAAGACACTTAAATCCATTTTGCCTGAAGCCCCTACTGAATAATCAAGGCTCCTGTGAACTCACCACCTGCAAGAGGATCAGTGAGGGGCTGGTACTCTGTGTACTGGGTGCAGCTCTGACTGCCACCCTCCAACCCAGAAATGGTTTAAGGGTAAGAAAATGGATGGGTGGATGGGCTCCATAATTAAAGTCCGTGCATTTACTTATTTAAAAATGGGAATATTTTTTCCAGCTCCTAGTTTCTTACTTTGTATTACAATAATATTTTAGCTGTAGAGCAGTGAACAAATATTATATAATAATAGTTGTATGGCTAGTTTTGTATTTATTTTTGCTCGTTCCGTTTAATCGTTAAATACCATGTAAATAGCTTCAATCCTTTCTATTGGAATTTTGTCAGAGGGACAAATTATCCCTCTAAATATTTCTCTGTAGCAAAATATCCTGCATGTGTTATTGTGACAGTCCTGTCCATAATAATATGTGAGGGCTAGGCTTTGCACACAGCATGCTCATTACCACCCTGACACCATGTACTCTGATATTACGTTATTAAATGTAGTTATAGTTAATAGCCAAAGGATAAATGAGTCACTTTGTGTATGGCTCCCCCGCTGAGTTTCCATTTGGCCACAGGATCATTTCCTTGAGCGCAGAATAGTTCTACCACAGCTCCTCCCTGCCGAGAACATCAATAAGAAAACCTTTGCAACTCATTATCGCCACATTTGTTTGGGCTAACTAGCTAGCGTCAACTCACCTGATACTTATTCTTGAACATTTCGCTTGAGGCCCAATGTATTTTAAGTTGTTACATTACGCACGCTGTTATACACACTCCGTTGGACCGTTAGCTTATGATTTAGGAGACTTTATCTAGATGTAAAAAGTCCTGTTAACCTTCATTGACAGACGTATTATTGTGAAACGCCGCGAGCCAAGCCTCATCGGTTTCCATGGTTACAGACCTGCGGTAAACACACGTGGAAGGACGCCTCTTTTTTCCCCAACGCAGTTTTGCCCAGGCCATACAAATAAACCTCCCCAAAGCCCTTCCCTTGACTGACTGAACCACAAAAACATATCTAATTACTAAACGTAAAATATGAAAACATATGTGAGAATAAAACATACGTTGTTAATAATAAAGATTAGCTGATCCTATCAATTCAAAGCTTTTGGCACATGAGGGCGGAAAGATTGATATAATAATCTTTACTATAATAATCTTATCATGATCTTTAATACAATAATAATAATAGATCCATGGTGTTAACCAGTAAAAACACTGAACACCATGGATCTATTATGATGGTTAACACAGGACCTATCATACCTTTCAGATATGGTACACATATTATATGGTACCGCACATTTCAAAAAATATATGGGCCAAAAAAATAAATAAAGAAAATGCTTTAATTATCTAACTCATTGAGTTAATATAATAATGATCTAAAATCCATTAAATGTATCAACATTGTGACTTGTATTTATTATGCGCTTGTATGGTATTTATTTGATCTCTATGTAATAAGCGGCCTAACGTACATCTTTTGAAGCATTTTTTTTTCTATTTCTTTCTTTGAAGGTCTTATCATTATATAGTCATCTTTTTTCCTTGAATGTAGCGGTGCCCCAGAAAGTATTCATGATTTAATAATAACATAATTAATAAAATAACAGATAATACATTTGTGGGCTGAACTGTAAAAAGCCATTAATGTGCCATTGTCACTTGTTCTTATCCCAAACAGTAGCGCTATTTTGAGATCAAAAGCTTGTTTTTTAATTAGCCTCTGTGGGAGTCCATAACAGTGAGCCAGTTCATGTTATTGTGGTTTGTTTCCAAACATGGAAAGTGAAGTGATGACAACTATCAGAAGACCTATTCATTTGCTAAAAAAAAAAAATAAATACATAATATTATATGTTTTCATATCCATCAGGTTATGTGAAGTGAAGCCATATTAGAAATGTTTGAGATAGATATACCCAGAATTATTTATCCCACATGGGGACAGTCACAAGTAAAAGATACAAACAACACAGGCAATAGACAGATATACATGACACCATCAACAGTATAGCGAATCATGAAGACAAAGTTTAAACCCCAGTGAAGGCCAATGTTTCTGCATCTTCTCGGAGCAGCCACAGTTACTCCAACTGCAGGTCCAGCCCACTTCACTATCTTGTCCGGTAATGGAATGTTTCAGAGATGCTGTTTCCCCACAAAATAGCAGCAAGTATAAGATTCCAAAAAAGCTTTTTTTCTCAATATTTCTTAAAACATGCATATTTTTGTAAACCACAATCAGATCAGGCAAAAATTGAAAATTACTTAATAACATTTTATTTTTTGTAACCTACAGGATTTAACTAATAGCAAGTACAATTTCAATCATTTGGAAATTACTTAAATAAGCCAACTGAAAATGTAATTGTAATTGTATTATTCACTAATTCACTAAAATAATAGTGAATTGTTGAGTTTGCTTATCTATTCCATGCAGCTCTTTAATGGCCCATGGGAAGATGTTCTCAACTAAAGATGGGTACACAATCACAACACCCTGTTTATAGTTATTAGTTATTCAAGTTCTGAGTTGGTATATCATTAACACTAGTGAACTCTGAATGAGTAACAGTGTACGTCCACACTGGCTCCCAGTAGGAGAAGTTTGACAATGATTAGTTGAGACAGCACTATCAAAACACCGCCCGGCCTGCACTCTACATTAGCAAAGTCAGAATGGAAAAAACATTTAATGGCAGCTTGTTAGCATACTAAATTATGACTAATTATTCACCTATTATGTTCGAAAGAATCCATTCATCTCAGCCTGTCAAAGACTATCACTGTCCTATCTACATTGTTATTTATAGCTTTTTTATTGAACACAGTCAACAATAGAAACATTTAAAAAAAGATTGATGTGATGGAATATTATCTACATTTGATACAGTGCCCTGGGATCACTAAAATTGTGAGTTTGGTCAGGAGGACACCTTATCATGTCAACACTACTGCTGTCCTTCGGATGGTCATTATTCTGTAAATCAAAGTATAACCAGGCCTACATCCGTCAGTGTTTGATACTGGACAAATTTGCCAAAATATAATTGACTAGATCCTTTTGTGGAAGCACAATTGTTTAATAGAAACACTGAGCTGGTCTAAATAAGTAAAATATTGTAATTGAGATAGTAGATTTATTTTTATTTTCTTTATCTTTTGGGCCTGTAAAGCACTTTGGGCAGCTGGGGTTGTTGTAAATATGCTAAACAAATTACATGTTTTGGTGGGAACAATGCTCTTCCGAACAGGGATTTCATGGTATGATTAAAAGATATGATGAGATATGAGAGATTGTATTATTCCATAGCAAAAGCCAACGGTAAGGATAGTATTATCTGCACTCCCATTGAAAGAATAACATTTGTATTTATGGGCAAAAAGGAGTTATTTGAGAGTGTTTGGATGAAGAGTTATGTGGTGAGAGGGAGCTTCATTTTGGTGGCTCTTGTATTTGCAGGTGATTTCTTAGTGTGGGCACTGGTTTGCGCTTTATTACCGTGCTGAATTCTCCGGCTCATGTCTTGTTAGGTGCTGCAGCTGCAGGAAAGCCGATAAGTCCACAAACCCAGCGAGTGTCCGACTGCAGCATTTGGGGCTATATTTTTCTCCTCTTCTGTATTTCACCCTGAACATAAGTGTGTGGAGAGGTGTGGAGGAGCAGATAGATGAGTGCGGCTGGGAAATGTGGTGATCTTTGAACCGAATAGGCACATGATCAAAATACATGGGCCGTTTGATGTTTCCAGATAACGACAAAGCTGGGCTGAGGCAGGAGGATTCATGGCTCACGTTTGCAAGGAATGATGAGAAACACACTGTTATGTCAGGGAGCCTTTGTTCCCATTCCCAAGCAACCATGCTTCTTCATTTGATTTACCGTTATCAATGAAATATAACTTGTTTATGTGCAGAAATGGTATTAAAGTGAAATAAAGCATCTCATTAAATCTGCACATCCCTACAACGTAAACAAGTATTATTTAAAAAATGTTTTTGTGCTAAAATCATTTTCCAGGCCAATATAAGATATTTTTGTGACAAAAGTTGTTGCGGCTCATTGTAGTTTTGTAAAGATTAGTGGCTGATAATGTGTATAGCTGTAAATTATTTATACATTTTTTTGTTATATCAAGATGATCGCCATGATGATGAAGGATCGAGGCTCCTGTGGACTCACCACCTGCAGGAGGATCAGTGAGCCCATAACTAACTCCAATTATGGGTAGTAGGTGCATATATCTAACATGTATGTGTTTATCCATGGCTATTCATTTTAGCTTCTTCCGCCAGCAGTGTACTGTAATGTAATTGGCAGTTATTTATTTGGCTGGCTGTCTGTCTGCATATTGTTATTGTCACAAAAACAAAACAAAAAAGAATTTTGAGCATCACCCTGATAATAGAGCATATAAAGTGCAGAAGTTGGCACAGGGCTATAGGAGGATCAGCAGAACAGGAACAGAATGTCAGTGAGGATGATAGCTGCAACAATGCACGACCAGTTCACAGTTTTGGCAGGTATGTAAAAGTGGAGGATAATGGGGGTCAGTGAGGGTGAGGAGGGGGCAGTGTTAATTGCGCAGTCTGACAGCCTGGGGGTAGAGGCTGTTGGCTATTCTGCTGGTTCGGGCAGGGAGTTACCTGTACCTGGCAGCAGGTGGAACAGTCGCTGTGCTGGATGGGAGTGGTCTTTAATGAAACTGGCACAGGCAGCAGGAGGTGTTCATACTCTGGAGATCTCTGGATCTCCGATGATCTTGCTCGCAGTTTTCACCACCCTTTGGATTGCTTGCTTCTTGGCTTTTGTGCAGCTGGAGAACCACACCAGCAGACCATACGTTAGCACACTCTGAATGGCACAGTTATAAAAGTACAGCTTGTAGAGTGGATGGTGGATGAGATGTGCTCACCACCTTTACCAAACTTTACACACAATAAACCAAGCCTCTTCTTTGTGTTCCAGATGCTCCAACAGGTCAGTAGCTGTGATGTCCCCTGTTGATCTGTTTTGCCTCTGGGCAAACTGGAACCGCTCTGGAGCAGGTGGAATGGCCCTCTTTATGTGGGTTATCACCAGCCGCTCAAGACATAAAAGAATTTGCTTTGGTGTTCTAATAGTAATAAAGCTTTGTAACAAACGTTCTTTATTCTTGTATATGCGTGTGATTAGTAGTACATTCTAATAGTATGAAAACAATTTAAAAGACCCCAATATTTAAAATGATGAATTTAATTGATCTGAAGATTGAGTTTAGACCACTAAACTCACCTTTGGTTATCCCTCTCTAAGCTCGGGTCCTCTACCAGAGGCCTGGGAGCTTGAGGGTTCTGCGCAGTATCTTTGCTGTTCCTAGCACTGCACATTTCTGGACCGAGATGACTGCCCCGAGTGCACCGATCACCACGGGCACTACTGTCACCTTTACCCTCCAGGCCCTCTCTAGCTCCTCTCTGAGACCTATATATATATATATATATATATATAAATATATATAAATATATATATATATATATATATATAAATATATATATATATAAAAAAAAAAAAATTGTCCACTCACCTTTGGCCCTCCGCGGGCGGTTATCCCTCTCTAAGCTCGGGTCCTCTACCAGAGGCCAGGGAGCTTGAGGGTTCTGCGCAGTATCTTTGCTGTTCCTAGCACTGCACATTTCTGGACCGAGATGTCCGAGGTTGTTCC